ATTCACACTTTTTTATTTCCTGCTAATTTACAAAGACACATTTAATAAAATTTAAATCATATGCTGAACCCCTTCTTATCTCAGCTGTTGCAATGGCCACCAAACTAAATAAATATGCTGGCCTCTCCACCGGCATCCTGGCAGTGTTATGAGCCTATGCTTTATGAATATGAATATAATTTTAATAGAGTAGAAGAAAACTATCAGAAGCAAACAGTAACCCTCTGTGCAATAAATAATTTTTTTCCGACACAACAAGAAAACAATACAGCAATCACAAGAAAAGGAGCTACGTGATTACAAGAGAATAGGGGGGGAAATGATTCTGAGCTTGCAAGGCAATTTATGGATTATGAGAGTTAAATCTGTTACACTCAATATGATATGAGTTATGCAGATCATGAGTGGTACTTAAATGCACCGTCACGCTCTGTCTGAATTTGTAGCCACGGAGAGCTGTAGCAGGTAAACAACTACAACCACACAGCGATACGAAGTAGCTAAACTGAATGGAAGACAATAATATTCTGGTTTTTAAACCATAACTTTATTTTGAGCTCAACGGAAAATATAGTTTTTTGTTTAATCCTCAGATATCCTGTTGTTATGTCCTCATGTGCAGAGGCAGAATTGTACTCAAGTAGGAGTAGCACTACTACTTCAGTTGTTACTCGAGTAAAAGCAAAAAGTCGCCGTCCAATGAAAATACTCAAGTGAGAGTACAAAAGTATTGGGTGAAATGGCTAGCCAAGTATTGAGTAACTGATCATAACGTCTAACGGTTTAACATTTAAAGGGGCAGTGTTATTTTTTATTTTTAGCTTTACATACATCATGTTATAATTTGATTCCCTCATCAGAAACATACCTGGAGTGTCGCTGTGATTATTTCACGCGTGTTTTGAGTAATCCTTTAATATCCCAGCTGACCAAGCGCCGCCTTAAAGGACAAAACTCCTCCTCGAAGCTGCAGTTTCCAAGTTTCAGAACATCTGAGTACCACTGAATATCATTATTACAAAAATAACTAATCAGGCAAATTAGACACTTTTAAACGCCCTTCGTTCTTGTCCTCCTTGACTATCCCGACATTTTATTAATAAATAAACATTCTAGAATTGCCCATGCAAATAACCTAACCTGAAGCTCCTCCTCACTCCCTCCATTCATTTATTTATTTATTTTTAATCACTCTATGCTTCTGTTCGTATAAAACGTCTGTTAGGTGGTTAGACAGGCTGTGATTAAACGGGAATAAATCAGCCCATTTGGCCCCGCAGTTACAGTTTCTGCTCTGAAACACCTGCAGGGGACAGCGCAGGATTATGCTGTGCACAACTACACTGCACCCACACACACAACAGGGAAGGATGCTGGGATGGATGGATGGATGGATGGATGGATGGATGGGAAGATGGAGAGAACATACTTACTTGGCATATA